ATATATATATATATATACAGTATTTATGGACCCTGGTGTAAGGGTGCACTCCGATAAAATTACATTTTTATGGACCCCGGTGAAAACGTGCACTTTGGTAGAACAACACAGTTATGGCCTCTGTTGTAAATGTGCACTCTGGTCAAATGACACTGTTATGGACCCTGGTGTAAGTGTGCACTATGGTAAAACACACTTTTATAGACCCCATTGGAAATGTGTACTCCAGTTAAAGACACTGTTATGGACCCTGGTAAATAAACATTATGGACCCCAATGTAAACATGCACTCTGGTAAAACGACACTATCAATCACTGTAAAAAGGAGCTCATAAAAGGTTTTGATACAAATTTAAATAGTCAAATTGCAAACATATTAACCATAAACTTAAATACTCATAAACTTAAATACTAAATTTACGTCCATTTGATTAAATAAACTCAACGTGATCACAGATATGGTAACAAATATTACCTGTCCTAATAATGTCAGTTCACTTTTGCACTAAACTACACAGCCGTAATGTTCAAGTAAAAAAAAACAACCTACACCCATGACCGATGACCAGGTGAGATAACATTTATCAGTTGCAGTAAAATAAACCTGGGACCACCAGGGAAGTTTCCTCAGGCGTGTCTGAACATAGAGCCCTCATCCATGTACGGAAATAAAAGAAACGGGAGGCAATGCAGGATTGTCCTCTTTGCATCAGATAACTTAAAAATGTTTGCATTGATTTAAAGTTTTACAGAGGGTGTTATAACAAATATGACAAACATAAAAGGTWAATTAATTAATGAACTAATTAAATAAACAAACAAACAGACTTGAGCAGCTCACAGATTTGTTGCAGCAACAAACTGAATTTTTCCTCCCATTCCGTCCCTAAAGCTGTATTTTTGTCAGCGTGTTTACGATTTGCGCATGCGCGAAGCGGAAGTKTCTCCTGAKGTGCGCATGCGCAAAGCGGACGTGTCTCCTGATGTGCGCATGCGCGAAGCGATCGCTAGCTGTCATGGCCCTTCTCAGCGAAGAGTTCTGCAGGTAATGTTCCCCCCTTTTTTTCCTTTTTACAACAAATACCAACATTTCCTTGATAAAGTAGCGGTTTTGTTTAAGTGGACACGTATTCGTAGATGCATCCGCATATAATAATAGTTGAAACATTCAAGCCTTTTTAAACGGTTTATACAGATGTAACTTTGCAGCGCTAACGTTAGCGTTGTGGCTACACTGGTTATTGTTTGTCCTGTCTTGGACTGGAGATGTTTTGGTTTTTCTTACTAGATTTCTGTCTTTTTTTTCCTTCTCGTTACAGGCAAGTATGTAGCAGCTGCACACCGCTGATAAAAGGACGGCAGTTGTTGAATTCAGGTAATATATCTAAGCTAGCATCTGTGTTGATAGTGGATTTCTGCGTAAAAATACGCATTAAAACGTGAAATTATTTATTTATCGTAGTAAACGGGTTGGTTTCTTWGTGGTTTTGAGAGTGAAGTAGATTTGTTTTTGTAACAGGATGAATGAGATGAATCTGAGTCCAGTGGGCATGGACCAGCTCAGTGTGCCCTCRGTGAGTGCCAGCCACCTGGGTCTGCCCACCTCTCCCACACACAATCCCATCCCCACTCCAGGTACAGAGAAACACCACTAACCAGACGTTCATCGCCTTTCACCTCGTTGCACTCTGGTCTCAAACACTTCCTCCTGTTTGTGTTTTTGTATCTTTCAGGCATGCCAGTGGCCATCCCCAGTTTGGGTCCTTCCCTGGGTTCGCTGCCTTCTGCTCTGTCTCTGATGCTCCCCATGGGCCCACTGAGTGACAGAGGGGTGATGTGCGGGTTGCCAGAGAGGAATTACTCCCTGCCGCCTCCCCCGTACCCCCACCTGGAGAGCAGCTACTTCCGGCACATTCTACCAGGTAGGTTTGCTCCATAAATCGCATTAAAGTAGGACTGCAACTAAAGATTATTTTAACAATCGATTAATTTGTTGATTATTTTTTCGATTAATTGGCCAAATCGTTAAAACGCTTAATATGAGTAGATATAAACTAAGTTAACTCCTTAAGGATGCAAGTTATTGATAATGAATTAATCTGAAGTTGATTTGTCTTATAGATTGATTAACAA